TCTTTTGCCCAATCTCTAATATGAAGCATTCTCTTTCACATATTGGAATCCCCCAACCGCCAATTAATCAATGCTGGATGAGAGGAGTGACAATATTTCCCATGCATGAAAATGGCCCACAAGGGAATCACCTTTCCGAAAATTAAATCATTATTTAAAAACATTAATATCAGCAATATGGTGCAGAGATTTGAAACCCAAACCACCAGCATAGAGGGTTTGCAAATATTCTTCCAAGACATCCATCTTTTACCTGAAAGATTCCCCACCCGTAAAAACTTATTGAAACATCTTTCGATGCTCAAAAGAGTGTTTTTCAGAGTGATTTTCTTAAGTTGAAAAACTTGAAGAATATATAAAGGAAGAGAATGTAAGATACTCCTGAGCAACGTAATTCTACCCCCAAAAGAAAGGAAATTATTTTTCCAATCCAAGATATTCTTCCGCACCTTTTCACTACCTCATCAAACTGAATTCGCCTTTTCCTTCTTTTAAATAAGAAGACCCCCAGATATTTAAGGTAGAAATAGACAATCCAGTAAAATTGGCAATCCAGCATGCATTAGAACGATTGACCGTATTTCTCATGTATAAGTTGCATTTATTAGCATTAAAAAGGAGACCAGAGACAGATTAGAAGTTCACAATTAAACTGTGAATATCCCTCACCGTTTTTTTGCTAGCATTAGAGAACAATATCATATCATCGGCATACACTAAATGTGTTACCAACGTATTGGAGTTATGAGCGTATTGCAAAGTGGGATTTCTCCTGAAAAAATTATTTAAAAGGCGAGAATTAAAAAATTATTTAAAAGGCGAGAAAGATAATCAAATATTAAAATGAAAATAGTAGGAGATAAAGGGTCACCCTGCTTTATCCCACGCCCCGCACTAAAGAAGCCCCGAGATTGACCATTGATGAGTATGTTATATTTATTGCAATAGAGCCATGAAAGAATAATTTTGCAAAAATCCTGGGAAAAGCCCTAGATTTAAGCACATTTAAGATAAACTCCCAACTAAGAGAATCATAAGCCTTGCAAATATCCAATTTATTGACCATATTTCATCCTCTACTTTTTTTAATATCCAAGATGAGTTCCCGCGCAAGCATAATTTATCTCATCCTCTACTTTTTTTAATATCCAAGATGAGTTCCTGCGCAAGCATAATTTATCTGTGATCCCTCGCCCTTGAATAAAGGCAAATTGATTCAAGGAAATTAATTTGTGGAGATAAGGTTGAATACGTCTGACCAAAATTTTACTTATCATCTTAGATATGACAGAAGTCAGAGAAATATGTATAAAATGGTCCCAAGAGCTTTTTTGAGTGTATTTGGGAATAAGAACCATAGTAGCGGCAGAGAAATAATTTTCAGGGGTCTCCCCCTTAAAGAAACTCTAGATAGCTTCCACCACCTTATCCTTAAAAAAACTCCAGCATTTAATATAGAAAGCAGAGGTGAAACCATCAGACCCAGGGGCTTTGTTGCAATTAATGTCCAGAAGGGTAGAATAAATTTCCTCATCATAGGGAATACCACAAAGATCGAGATCAACCATGTGATGACGTACATCATCAAATAAGAAAGCATCAATAGAGCCTAAAGTCTCATGAAACTCAAAAAGTTTAGAGAAATAAAGAACAGTGTTTTCCCCAATCTCCTCATCCCCTATAATCCAGCTCCCCTCATCATTTTTAATCCTCACAATAGTGTTATTGGCTTGTCTTTGTTTAATACAAGCAAGGAAGTATTTGGTGTTTCTATCACCTTGAGAGAAGTGGGGTTCCCCAGCCTTTTGTTGCAATAATTCCTCTTCTCAAAGGGAGGCCTCCAGTAATTCTTTATTAGTCTCCTGTAAGTCATGGATAATGTCATCAAGAGATTCATCAAGAGCCTGTAGGAGACTGACCCTCTGCTCAGCCCTCTTAACTCTAGCATGAACATCACCAAAGACATCACAGTTCCAAGATCTTAGAGCAGAAGCCACCTTTTTATGCAGCTTCCAAAGAGTGAACCATGCATTGCCAACCTCCTCACATTTCCAATTAGTAGCAATGACTCGCAAAAAGTCATCATGTCTAGCCAGGCGTTTACATAACGAAAGTGATAGTTGGAAGCCTTTTTGAAATAATCAAAGGACAAAACAAGGGGACTGTAATCAAACCCAGATCTGCAAAGATGCTAAGCTTGCTAAAAAACATAAGAAGAAATCCACAACTGATTAGCAAAACACCTATCTAGGCATTCAAAAAGCTTTCCCCTTTTCCAAGTGAACTTAGAACCATCAAAACCCAGATCACAAATGTCAGCGAGATCCAAAACTTCATTGAATTTATCAGTTAAAGTGGTGTCAATTGTTCGACCACCCATTTTTTTAGAATCATGCATCACCCTATTGAAATCATCTCCAACCATCCAATTCTAGTGGATTAAGGCATCTATATCAGATAGTTTGTGCCAAAGATCATATCTAGCAGCATTAGTAGTCCCGACATAAACAAAAGTGAGACATCCAGAGAAAACATCTATAGAAAAGAAAGTGTGCACAAACTGTCTACCATCAATAAGGACATCTTGTGATATGCTTCCGCCAAAACAACCAAATCTTGTTAGAGCAATTAGCAAATAAAGAAAAGTTTATGAATTTACCCAAAATGCGATCATCCGGAGAGGAGACCAATGGTTCCAAAATAGCAAAGATACTGACCTTATGAATCCTTATCATTGACTTGAGTCTACCAAGGGAGTGACAATCCAAAACTCCTTTGATATTCCAAATTAGGGCATTAAACATGAGTAGACATATGCCCTTCCTAAAAGATCTAGTTCGGGTACGTCCATTTTCTCCATCTGAAAAGTAGTGATTCATATCCAACAAATCATATCCAACAAAGTGTTCCCACTATTATGTATTATGTTTTTGCACATCCTCTTGGCCTCTATACTTCCTCCGAGGATACTTTTGAACATGCCATTCATCCCTTAATATTTTAGAAATATCCTCCAAAGGAGTATCAGATATGGCATCAAAATGATAAGAATATAGAGAATTATAATCAGTATTCAAAGTATCAGAAAGAGAGACCGAAGAAGGACGGGCCCCCTCAGAAAATGAAATTATAGGAGGATCTGGAACAGGTAACACCTGCTCAGTTCTCCCAACTGGGGAAATAGCATTAGAGGTAAGAGGATATTGATTATTATCAATATTCAAAGAATCAGGGAGAGATGTTGATGATAGTCGAGCCCTCTCAATATTCGAAATAGTAGGCGGGGGAGTAGGTATGACCTGCACGACACGCCCAACCTGTTGTCCCTCGGTCACGCTAGCATAGGAACGATACCGTTTACCCACGTCACCAACGCCGTCGGCGGTTACGCCAGCGTAAGATCGAGCCATGCCGCCCGATTACCCTCGTCGCCATCTAGTCGCAAATCCTAGCAGAGCTGGAATCGTGACCATCGTAACTGCGTACAATAGTTAAAGATATATATATATATATATATATATTGAATGAGATGAGCACATGAATGATATGGATATGGACTATATATACTACTTGTATCTGCAGACTCAATGCTATTAGTATGGGAACGCTAAGGTACTCATGCATGTAAATAAAAATAATATTGATGTTGAAGTACATTAATTAGTACAATTTTTAGATGGTGCTCTTGTGACAGTTGTACAAATATAAAATAATATAGACATATTATTGATATAATAAAACACCTTAGATGTTATGAAATATCATGAAAAATCATATTCATAAACTATTAAATGTTTTATACTGATTTATTAGAAGTTTATCTGGCATGTCTATTGTTTTATTTGTCACTGTGTTACTATAGTCTACAAATATGAGTATTAATTGGCTTTGATAAGCTCACTGTTGTTTTAAACTAACATTGTAGGTTTATTTATTTGATTAAAGAACGAACAATAGAAGGAAAATTATTTATAGAAGACGCAGACAACCTGACCTAAGGTAGATTTAAAACTATTTTAGCTTAATTTCTCTTTTGAGGTGACTCTTTCATTTACTTTTGGATCTTTAATTCATAATGATAGAAATTAAATTTAGAAATTTTCATTAATATTGTCCGACCGACTGTTCCCACCTTGGTTGGTTAAGTCCAAGTCCCAGGCTGAGTCGTGACAATAAAAGAATTATGGTATGTAAATGCCTCCACTATTTTTTTAAGAATATTAAATAACTTTTAACTCCCACCCAGCAGCCACTCACCTTCAAACACATGCAAGCATGTATGGTACATAACAAGAAACAGCAAATACGCTTAATACCAAAATGCATAAAATGGCCTGAAAAATCCATAATGATGAAGAAAAGAAGAGAAAAAGAAAGGCAGAGAAGAGAGACAGAGGGAGAATGTACATTATCATAGTGTGAATTTGTAGCATGGATGTACCTATGATTGTGTGACAGTAAAAAAGTCTAAACACAGATCATACCTCCAAAGTGATGACACCACGAAAGTGTCTCTCCTCTTGCTTCTTGGTGTATCCAAGCTAATCAGAAAGGAAGACCAAACACATTATGTCCAAGTTCAAGATGCCTAACTTGAATAATAGGCATTTTCAGCACTAGTTTCAATAATCAATGTGAACAAGAGGATACTAACCTTGCCACTTTTCTCATTTAAAACAAACCAACGTCTACTCCAGCCATTTGTCTTTGCACTTTTTTTTAGAAGGAAACCTGCAAGAATAAGAAAAAGAAAGATTTGAGAGGGATGTTTAATTTATGCGCCATAGTAAGTACAACCAGTTCAGATTAGATTCGGGTGATTTAAGCACCTTAATAATGTTAAAAGCAATTATAGACAAATTATGACCACCTGCACAGGAATCAGACGAGCAATTTGGATAACATGTTATTTAAAACTTTGTGCCATACAGATCAACAGATTAAGTTTGAACCAGTTCCGATACCTCTCTCCGAATCATTAAGAGCACGCATAATAAACAGAAATCCCATTTCTGTAAACGTGTTACATGCCAGTATAAACTAGTTGTAATTGTCACCAGAATTAAATTAGACAATCTTAAAGATTCTCAGAAATTTTATCCATCACTGTAGCGCTTACAGCCACAAGAAAAAACGCAAATAAAACAACATATTCTTTTGTGAAAATTGAAGAGGAATAAAACAGGAATCGACACAAACTAGAAAAAGAACACAGAGATTTAACGAGGTTCGGCAAGGAATTGCCTACGTCCTCGGGAGCAAGCAGCGGTTTCACTATTTCAGAGAAGTTACAATAAATCCCATAGGGTTACACATATATATAAACATATACAAACCCTCAGATAAAATTATAATCACGTCATCGCTCCTCCCAACCCCTTTTATTTCAAGAGACACTCCTTTTTCACCAGGAGACACACCTCTTCACCAAGAAACTCCAACTCCCTAGATATGAGTCATACCTAACAATTCTCCACATTGGCGAATATCCAACACCTTAAATATCCAACACCTTAAAAGATATGTATCACCCGGTATATGCGCCTACCAAACAAATCTCCACCTTAGTGAATATTCAGTCATTTAGAAGAAAATCTCCACCTTGCAAAGACTAGACCTCACGAAAATTGAGGTCAACACCTGCCCCTTAGAAAAAAAATCTCCATCTTTCGAATATTCTGCCCCTTAGGAAAAAAATCTCATGGAGTCTTTTTATACCAAAGTGGGTTGGGCAACCAAACCATCTAACCTGGCTAGGTCAAAGTTCCTGTTGCATTTTCACCATATGATTCAACAGAGCGATCTCCACCTGCAACTGTACTCCCAATCATTTTATATATGTTACCTACAGTAATCTTCCCTTTCATCACAGTTAGTGCACCCTTAACAATTCCGATGATTTCTCTATCTTCATCTGCCTTAGAAATGAAACATTTCTGTGTAGAGTGCCCAAGAAAATCAAATTCTTCTTCAACTCTGGAACATGTCTGACATCACATAATGTTCTAACAGTATAATCATACATCTTAATTCTGACTCTACCAATACCAGCAATATTGCATCGTCTATTATCACTCAAATAGACTGAACCAGAATCAGATAATCTGTATGAAGTAAACCACTCCCTGTTAGGTGTTATGTGATAAGAACATCCTGAATCAAGAATCCATCCATCTTTTAACTGAGTTGTTGTAACTGAAAGCGCATCACCATCACTGTAATGTGAACCACTCCTTGTTAGGTGTCATGTGATAAGAACATCCTGAATCAAGAATCCATCCATCCTTTAACTGAGTTGTTGTAACTGAAAGCGCATCACCATCACTGTAATCTGTAATGTCACTCTGCACCATATTCACAGCCCTGGAAGATACATCACGAGTCTTCTTCTTGAGCATTGGACAATCTCTTTTCATATGTCCCTGTTCCTTGCACTTAAAGCAACGAATCTTCTTGCCTTTAGGCTTTGACCTGGAACTTTGTCTTCCAGAATTCTCCTTCTCCTTACTTTCACGATTATCCTGATTACCCTTGGCATATAAACAATTACCATGAGAGCTTTCCTCTGCATTCTGCTTCCGCTGGTTGTGAGCCAACAATGCTGCAGTAATCTCATCAATTTTAATTGTTTCTTTCCCATATGTAAGAGTAGTCACCAGATGTTCATAAGAAGTAGGCAATGAACACAAGAGAATCATTGCTCGGTCTTCATCCTCAATATTCACATCAAGCCGTGCCAGATCCGTGATTATTTGATTGAAGACATTCAAGTGCTGAACCAAATCAGTGTCTGCCTGCATCTTCAGCCCATACAGCCTTTGCTTCAGATACAATTTATTCGTCAGAGATTTGGACATAAACTGAGATTC